TGGCTGTGGAAGGTCAATCTGCAGGCCAAGGCTGGATAGTCACATTCTGTGGGCGACATTCTGGTGGAATTATTGAGGTTTTCTCATTAATTCTACCACAACTGCTCCAGGTTTACCTTTCCTGACCCCTAACCTCACTTCTGGCCGCTGCCCTAGTGACATCTTAGGGCTATCTCTGAGAGGGCACTGGAAGGTCCCGAGAAGCACATGCAAGGCTGAGCACAACTGAGGATTTCATGGCTGCCTAAGGCCCTCTTCTCCCACTGTTTTTACATCACAGCATCAGCATGGTAAGGTGAACTGCAGCACCGCCCTCTTCTCTTGGGGTTCCTGCTGTCTGCTAAGGGCCCTGCCAGGACAGATGCCCCAAAGCACTTGATCTAATTAAATTGATCTAATTTAAACAGGACCAGCCAGGGGTTCGGAAACTCTGCTGAAAACAAGAATCTCCGGGGAAGGATGTGAACGTGCAGCGCCCTGCAGTCTGACTTGCACTTTCTCTTGCCCTTTCTCCCTTATTTCCCCCCTTCCCTCCCTCCTTCACTGTTTTACTTTTTTCCTCTAATCAACTCACAAAGCTGCACAAAAAACGATCTCCAAATGGTTCCTGTGAAAACAGACACTTTTGCGGGGAACTAGCTTCAACTGGCCTTCTTCCAGACTTCTATCAGAGAAGGAGAGAGATGAAGACTTTCAGAAAATGGCCAAATAAACACAGCACATTCATGAAACACTTGTGCCGCCAAAGGAGTCCGTCTGTTGTGGGCAGCAACTCACTTGGGATTTTGGCTACTCCAGGATTCCTTTTTCCTGCTTGCATTGGTATTAATACCAATTAATCGGGATGATCTGAAGCCACCGTGAATTCCGGAAGGGTTCCATCCTCTTACCCAGGCTTCCCCACTGCACAATTCATCGATGTTACCCCAAACCACTGGTACCTCAAAAGTACGGGTGGGATACTTTAATATGCATAGAGATAAATACATTTATATCTAATTAAACACTCAAAGAACTATACACCTAAAAAGGTGAAACTTGCTTCCTGTAAACCACATCTCAGTAAACATAAAAGAAAGAAAAGAAACGGAAGTTGTCTTGGTGCGCTGGGAAGGGTGGAATAGTGCGTCACAGAGTGCGAAAAAGAAGGCATTCAGCAAGCCCAAGAAGTAAGAAGGAAGGCAGACAGTTGATACAGGCACCCCAAAAGTCACAGATACACATAGCCATGGGGTTCACAGGCTTAAAACCCTAGACGGGGCCAGGCATGGTGGCTCACGCCTGTAATCCCAGCACTTTGGGAGGCCAAGGCAGGCGGGTCACCTGAGGTCGGGAGTTCGAGACCAGCATGACCAACATGGAGAAACCCTGTCTCTACTAAAAATACAAAATTAGCTGGGCTTGGTGGTGCATGCCTGGAATCCCAGCTACTTGGGAGGCTGAGGCAAGAGAATCACTTGAACCCAAGAGGTGGAAGTCTCGCCATTGCACTCCAGCCTGGGCAACAAGAGTGAAACTCCATCTCAGAGGAAAAGATCCTAGACGACACTTTCAGGAAAGCAAAGTGTTTGCCGAGTGACTGCTATGTACACAAGTGTTGCCCAGTTCCACCAACTCTAACGATACTAAGATACATGCATGCCTTGACCAAAAGAACCTTCCTTTCATGTACTGCTAAAAAGCATGCTACCATTAAACCAGGATACTTTATTATTATTTAAGATTTTCGTTCTGTACATATGAAGGAGGCTGGGCCCTATTTAGACATTCTTATATAAACATTAAATGTAGGTGAAATCAATTGTTAAATTATTCCTAACACTTTCCACACTCAGGTTAACTCTTCTGAATCACTTTTGGACTTGGAGTCATCAATATCCATGTTTTTCCCTGCAATATAATCTTCTGTGCCATTACGATGTCAGATGATAGAGAATTTCCTAAGAGTAGTGTATGAGTTTCCTATACACTGCATTCACAAATTATCACAACCTTCGTGGCTTAAAACAAACAGCGGGTGTGGTGGCTCACACCTATAATCTCAGAACTTTGGGAGGCCAAGGTGGGCGGATCATAAGGTCAGAATTTGAGACCAGCCTGACCAACATAGTGAAACCCCGTCTCTACTAAAAATTAGCCAGGTGTGGTGGTCCATGCCTGTAATCCCAGCTACTCAGGAGGCTGAGGCACAAGAATCGCTTGAACCTGGGAGGTGGAGGCTGCAGTGAACTGAGGCAGCGCGGCTGTACTCCAGCCTGGGTGACAGGGCAAGACTCCATCTCAAAAACAACAACAACAACAATAACAACAAAGCAAACCTTGTCTTCCGCTTCTCCAGGTCCGAGGTCTGCCACAGGCCTCACTGGGCTGTCAAGGGGTCACAGGATTGCTTTGGTTTCTGGAGTCTGCTTCTTTGCTGTTACTAGCTTCTTGAGCAGGCTGCATTCCTTGGCTCATGGCCCCTACCCCTGCTACAAAGCCAGCAATGCTGATCTCTCTGATCCACCAGCCTTCCACAGTCATGGCACCCTCTGAGCACAGCTGGGAAGGTCTTCTGGTTTTAAGGATATACTTGGTTAGCTTGGGCTAGCATCTGGATTAATGAAAACAACTTCCCCATTTCAAGAACCTTCCTTGAATCACATCTTCAAAGTTCCTTTTACCATGTAAGGTACCTTATGTCTTAGCTCTGGGGATTAGAACACAGACATCCTTGGGGGACACTGTCCTCCTCACCACACACAGTTTTCTATGGTCTCCAGAACACCCCCAGCCCCTGATACCTTCCTGCAAGTGTTTGTGCTGGGGCTCTCTTGACATCATCAGAAACTGTCAACAGAAAGGTTTTAGACCCCTTCTCAATTGATCCTTAGTCATTTGGTCACTAAAATGTCAGGAGAGGTGGTTTCCCATCATGGCACCAGGAATTGCAACAATATGCCTACCCTCACCACGCCATGGCAATGGCACGGAGAATATAAGACGCTACAGTGGCATCTGTGTCCTGGCTTTGGAGTGGATAAACTAGGAACAAGCAGAATTGAGAGACTGTAGAATAGAATTTCATCCTCACAGGAAGCCTACTACAATGAGTCAACTAAGCAGTACTGACACACAACTTCAGGAGGGGCCATTCACATTGAATCTACGAGAACATGCCCTTGGAGGTGGCCATAGAAATGGAAATAAGGAAACCAAAGCTCAGGGGGCAGAAAATTGCCTGGAACTTGCCAATGGTCTGAGCAGAATCAGAAGTTGACCCCAGATCTTGGGGCTCAGAGCCCGTGTGCCTTCGACAGAGTATCTCCACACTCATTAAAACAGCAGGGCTGATGGTAAACAGACATTTGGAAACCTGTGATTTTAGCCATCTGCCTCTCTAGGTAGAGCCTTTCCTAGCTGGGACCTTGCTGACGTAATATCATAATAATAGGCCTTATTTATCCAAGTGATACACTCCTGAAAGCATGCACGGCTTTCTGCAAATGGGACTCAATTTTAAATACATGAGGAAAGATTGTTCTTTAAAGGAAGTTCGAGGTGAATCCCTACTTCCCTCTGTTCCCACATGTATCTAGTCATTTGAAGTAGGCAACATGGGTTAGGGGGAAAAAACCTCAGGCTTCTGGAGCTGATTGGATTCAAATCTGGGTTCATCATTTCCTCGCTGTGATTTCAGACACAGAGTCATCAGCTCTATGCCTCCATGTCCTCCTCTGGGATGTCGGTGCAGTGCCTACCTGGGAGTGTCAGGGAATAAGAGTCCCAGGACGTGGTGGGAGCTCAGTGTTCCTGTCCCTCAATTTCCTTTTATACGTTAAATTATCATCCCTACCATCCCTGCCTCCCACTGCTTGAGGAGCAAAATGAGGCAGGATTTGTGATATTGCTCTGAAAATTGAACAGCACCAGCACCATGCAAACAGGAGAGATTATGATGCAGATGGCTGTATGTTGAGTGCTCCCGTCACATGAGAGTCCTATGATGCTTCTTCCCTGTGCTGTGAAGGTTTTATCTCCTAAGCACTAAATGCTAAATTCCCCCTCCCACGCCCATCGCCACTGTCCTCACGGATCCTTGCAGCAGCTTCCCGATCGGTCTCCCTGTCTCCAGCCTCACCACCCCCAACTCTCCTCCACCTAGAAGCTAGAGTGGTGTTCCCAAAAAAGGAAATGTATTTACAGTCAGTCTGTCTCCTGCCAAATTGTAATTTCTGATGGAAGGGGCTTTCTGGGTGTTATTTGCCCATGTGAGCCTGCCTCTAGCGTGGAGCCTGGCACAGGGATGGTTCAGCATATGTCTGTTTAGTGCCTGGTTATGGATGCAGCCTGCAGGGTTCCACTGGCCTATTGCAGCTTCTGTGTCCTGGCTCTGCAGGTGGCATTCTGGAGCGCTCTCCAGCTGGGGCAGATGATGAGCTCCAGAAAGGTCACCTCAAACGGGTGCCCCTGGCCAATGATGAAGAACACAGGCTCTGAAATCAGACCTGGGGCTCTGAGTACCATGCCCAGCTCTCACCAACCAACCATCAATTCTGTGCCTCAGTTCCTCATCTGTAAAATGAGCATAATGCCTGCTGATAGGGTCATTATTTGTATCAAATAGCTGAGAATACTGCCTGAAATGCTCCTTGCCAACCCACATGATTTTGAAACCGGTCTCATTTCATCCATAAATATGGCAGCATATGTCTCCCCTAGATAAGGGCTCTCTCACACACAATACCACTATCATACCTAAAATATGAACAATAATTCCATAATATCACCCAGCCAGTGTTCAAATTTCTCTAATTGCCTCACAAACAACTTTGTCATTTTGTTCAAATCAGGACTCAAACAAGGTCCGTCTATTGCAATAGACTGATAGAGGTGCTGGGATTCTTTTGATCTATATAGCAAGGGTTGGCAGATTTTCACTGAAAAGGGTTAGATAGCAAGGATTTTAGTCTTTGTGTGCCATTCAGTCTTTGTTGCTGTCTTAAACAAATGGGTATGGCTGTGTTTCAATAAAACTTTATTTATAAAAGCAGGCAGTTGGCCAGATTTGGCTCCAAGGAGGCAGATTACTAACGTGTGATGTACAAGCTTGTTCAGGTTCACGTTTTTTGTTTTTTTTTTTCTCTCTCTATAACATGTCATAGGTTGGTAGTATTGTGGATTTCCATCAGGAGGCTTAGAATGTCAGGCTGTTTCTCTTTCCCTCGCTCTCTAATATTTCATCAGCCACGTACATTCAGTGTCTAGATCCATTAATTCATTAAGGAAGGCAGAATGGCAACATTCTAATTCTATTGCCCCTTCTTCATTTATTAGCTGCAATACTTTTACAAAGAGAAACTCTCCAGCAATTATTTGCTTATACTGAGGTATAGTTTATACAGAAAAGTCAAGGTAATAAATGCTTGATTCCTTTCCTTTTTTTCCAGCTTTTGAAAATAGTGAGTTGGGCTTCTAAGCATTCTTCAAAGATAATCAATGTAGTTTTTAAAAGAACATTATGAGCAAATAGATTTCAACATAATTGAAGTGTTTTGAGTCATTGTAGTTTCTGCCTTTAATGATGTTTAAATTGTCTCAGTTTTGCCCCAGCTTATGACAGGACCTCAGAAGTCTTTGATAACATCCTTGCTTTCTGGTAGGATGAGATATTCTGGGGTTATCTTATTCAGTTTATGAAATCATCCTTCTCCAAAAAGCCCTAGTTCTCTCTGGAGGGAAGTGACATTTAGTAACCCTAATTTGTTACTAAGGATACTCATTGTTTCCAGAACTTTTCAGTAGCTATATTAAAGGATCATTTTTTTTTTTAAAGGCCTCAGAAATATACACTGAAAGTTCTGAATCAATTCAGGACCACAGCTGGGGCCTCTACGGGAGGGTAAGTATGCAGGGAGGTAAGAACCCCAATGATCAAAGCTGTTTGGATTCCTTGGCCCAGCCTGATCAAACTTCTGGATGACATCAAAGAGGTCTGCCTGACCTAAGGATCATTGTTCTTTGAAAGAAAAACATGTTCATTAATCTTCCGGGCAGCCTCGGGGCTAGGATATAAAGTTAATTAATGACAAGTGACTCCCTTCCACCAAAAGGACTATATGCAAACAGGCATGCAAGGAGGAAGCAAAGGACCACGATAAACGAAAACAAGTAAAGCAAACGCCTTATGATTCATCTAACATAGGCTCGGTTACAATTGCAGGTATAAAAGGAACTCGGTGAGAGACAGCAGTGAGACAACAAACCAGTGGAACACGGATGGTGACTCTGGCCGAGCGCCACATGTTCCTACCAGGAATCCTCCATTAGTCCTTTGGGCTGGAGGATGAGATCCTTCTTCACCTTCCACTGTCCAGGGACATGCTTAATGGTCATATTTGTTCTTCCCAAGGAGAGAGGGCCCATCTAATTGCAGGCCTTTTGTTTTCCTGGGTGGACTCAGGAAGCCTGTGGCTGAGAACGAAGGTGCTAAGGGAGGCTGTAAGGAGAAGGGAAGGAGGCGGAGGCTCTGGTGCATTAGGAAGAGCAGGGCAGTATCCCATGTCCTCTGATGTTGGGGATGAGGTCAGGGAGGGTATACTTCACCTTTTCCTTTCTCTCCCCTGCATCGTTCACCCATACGATGGGAAGGGATTCTCAGGGTAGTGCTTGAAGGTGGATTCAGGTTGATATGATTTAAAAATCAATGCTGTTCCATGAGAGGGCTGCCACTTATCATTTCAGTTCAAACACCTGTAAAGTAAAATTACCATCTCCCAAATCTACCCAGCACTGCAATGCTGAATAGGGATCGTGCTCTAAAACCATTCATGGAAACAGAGACAACCCAGGAGACAGTCACCCAGTGCTGTCCCTTCAGCTTGCATTATTCTCTGACAAGACAGGTCTGCCATCCGTGGAGGCCCCTGTGCTCCTCCATCCCTGGATCTTTATGCATCCTTTTCCCTCCAAAACCCAAACTGTCCCTCTTAAAATGAAAAGCTCAGGAATATTCACTCTAGACAGAGACAGGAATTTCAAGTACAAACCTTAATTAGACTTGATTTTTTAAAAATTTTCCCTGTGGCTTTTAATTATTAGAGCAAATGTCTCTAGTATTGAACTTGTATGTCCCATAGCCTCTTTACCAATGGCCCTAAAACATTTCATGTGCTTTTCAGAAAGATTCTATTCTTTCCAGAGCTGTCTGAATGTCTTTTTGAACCCCTCAAGACTGGACACCAAGGAGTATTAATAATCATTTTTTTTTTAATCACACTTCCTCTACAACCTTGAATCTGAAACGTGAATATATGAATAGAATGGCTGTGGAGTAACTATGCAAATTTATGGAGAATATCAATTTAAGTTATACCATGGGATCCAGCTATGTCTTCATGGAGCTGAGGATTTGTTAAAGTTAAGATATAGTTTGGGGGGTGTGTGATTTATAGTTAAAGTCATCTGAAAATCAATACAGTTGAAGATCTCTGACATAAGGGTCCCTTGCAGAGCTAGATGTGATTCTAAAATTGGGAACACAAGAATAAAAATCAAATCTTCAGTAGAAGTAGCTGAAAATTACAGTGAGTTGGGGAAGCTTGGCTGCTAACTCCCCACTGTTTGAAGATGGGCTTGTTTGTTTTTAAAACAGCCAACATAATTCAGCTGGAGGAGGTAGAAAGATTTTTCTATTCCTTGTTTCTGTAGAAATCGATGGACTTTAGCTTGTATAATTGTCCCCCCTGCCTTTAGTATCTAAAATAAAATAACCCTCATTGCTTGCATTACTGAACGCATTTCTGCGTCTTAGTGTCTATGGCTAAACGAGTATTAATTAGATAGTCTGCGGAGAGCTGGCCGGGGAAGGGAGGGGAGGTGGGGGAGAGGGGCAGGGATGGCAGCAGGGTGGACTCGCGGCCTTGATTTGGGATCCTGACAGCAACTTCCTAGGTGGCCTGAAGACCCCGGAACGAAGGAAGAGGGCGGGTCCCAGCAGGATCTGACCTGCATTACGGACAGGGGCGCTGCGGAGGGATGAAGGGGGCGGGGGTAGGGTAGAGGTGGTTCGGGGGAATCCCAGGTTCGAAGCAAGCTGCGGGCAACAGAGGGGGTAAGGGGGCCACTCAGGCTGGGATCAGCCGCCAGCAGCAGCCACGCCCCCCACATCCCCCAGGATTTTTAGGGAATATTCTCCAAAGCTCTCGCATCCTCCCCCTGCCTCCTTCCACCCTCCACCCTCCACCCTCCCAGCCCCCACTCAGACCTCTTTAAACCCACCCAGGGGCCGCCGCGGGATGAGGCCGGGGAACTGGCAGGACCTGGGGCGGGGGCTGGTGGGGCAACGCTTGGGAAACGCCTCGAAAGCAGCCGGACCCGGCAGCTGAAGTGAGGCGGAGGCGCTTGGCGAGGGGAGGCTCGCAGCTCCTTCCCGATCTGGCGCTCTCCTCGTTCACCCCCGAGTCAGCCCCGGCAGCCCCCGCCGCCGCGGCGGGTCGAGGAGACCCCCGCGTACAACCACGCGCGCGGGGCCGGGGCGCTACTTGAGGCCCTCGCTGCCCCTTTAAGGGTTCTCGAAACTTTCCCCCCTGGTATCAGATGAGCCTCGTCACATCCGTTGGCCGCGGCCGCCGGGGCGCGTTCCGAGGAAATTCGGGACTCCAGTTTCCCGGGGAAGAGGCGCGGCTGCAGCCCGGCGAGGGTGCGCAGGGCGGGCGCAGGTGGACCCCGGCGGCCCCCGCGCCCAGCTGTGACCTTGGCCGCAGGGGAGGGGCCGGGCCGCTGCGGGGCAGCCGCGGCCGCCAGAGGGGGCAGCGGAGAAGAACTTGCCCAACTTGGCGGCACGGGCTGGGGCGGCTCCGCGCCTCCGCGCCTCCGCGCCCGCCTCCCCGGCCTCCGCCTTCTCCTCGCCCGCGAGCCTCCTCCCCTGGGCCCTCCTCCCGTCCTCCCCGCTGCCGCCGCCGCCGCCGCCGGTCCCGGTGCGCGCCCATCCCTGCCCGCAGCCCCGCGCACCGGTCGAGTCGCTGAGCCGCGGCCGCCGGACGGGACGGGACGGACTGGGCCGGGCGCGCCCCCAGGGCCCCGCCGTGGGCATGGGCCCGCTGGCCCGGGCGCTGCTGCTGCCTCTGCTGGCCCAGTGGCTCCTGCGCGCCGCCCCGGAGCTGGCCCCCGCGCCCTTCACGCTGCCCCTCCGCGTGGCCACTGCCACGAACCGCGCTGCTGCGCCCACCTCGGGACCCGGGAGCCCCGCCGAGCGCCGCGCAGACGGCCTGGCGCTCGCCCTGGAGCCCGCCCTGGAGTCCGCCGCGGGCTCCGCCAACTTCTTGGCCATGGTGGACAACCTGCAGGGGGACTCTGGCCGCGGCTACTACCTGGAGATGCTGATCGGGACCCCCCCGCAGAAGGTAAGCCCCACGCCCTGGCGGCTGCCGCGGGTTTTTCGAGCTCGTTGGGGGAAGGGGGCCGTACGGAGAAGCCTCCACGCGGCTTAGCATCGCCCCAAAGCAGCAGCTGTCCCCGCAGAGAAGAGCTGGGAACGCAGAGGGGCTTGGGTGGGCGGGGGAGCGGGGGCGCTCGCTCTTGGGTCGCGGAGGACAGCGGCCCCCGCCCGGGGCGCACGGAGGGGTGTGCGCGAGTGTTTCAGAACTTGTGAGCTCCCCCTCCGCGGGGCAGGGCGGGAGAGGAGACCTGGAACTTGCCGCCTCCAGTAACGTGATTTCCTTCTTGCGAGCGACACCTACTTCCAGCGGGAGACGGAGCGGTGGGCCTCTGGCGACGGGCTGTTCAGGGGAAAATCACCTCATCTTCAGACTCTCCCTCCCCCCGCCCACCCCCCTATGCTGTCTCATTGCTAAAGAGGCTCGTGGCGGGCTTCCAAAGGCGCAGTACCCTTTAGAGGGGATTTATGCATGAGCTCAGCTAAAAGCAACCCGGTTCTGAAGTGGCTTGCTTGCTGCTCGTGCGAGGAGCAGCGTTCCCCCCGCGCCAGCGTTCCCTTCTCTGAGTTGGTTTGGCAGTTGCGTCCTTGCTCATCCCGCGGCCCTGCCCCTCTGCACCGAACGATGCATCTACACGCGGCGGTGCAGAAAGTGTAAAATGCAGTCCAGCTACCGGGAAAAAAAATGTGAGCTAAGTGAGGTGTCCGGGGACCAAGTGGTATCCCGATTACAAAACAAAAATAAAAAACCAAGCAGCTTTTCTCTTACTCTGATGTTCATTTACTAACAATTTTTGTAGCAAGAAACAAATGTTCCCAAGCACAGTAATCTTCAATTAAAAAAAAAAAAATCCAATTGATCTGCTCCCCCTCCTACTTTCAAAGTATCTAATGCAAGTGGGATTTGAAGTCATTTGCTCAATTGAATGCACAGTTTGAAGATACTTTATTTTTATTTTTAACATTGTCATTTGGGTTTTAATTTAGCTATGATTCTCCCATAAATAGAACATACTCATGACTTTTTGTATAATTCTCATTAAATTATTCAAGACTTTAAGAGGAAAGACATGCCATGCTAATTCTTTTGAAAAAGGAAGCTGCCGAATAACTTCTGTAGTTGTTTAATTAGTTTGCGGGGGGGGTGGAGGGGACCCCTTCAAAACCGTATTCTGCTCACACTTTCATTCTAGTTGCCTTTCATGTAAGTCATGGGAAGCCACGTGAATGATCTTTCCCATCTCCGGGAGTGGATGGTTGGAGGGAGGGAATGGGAATCCCATCAGCTGAGAGAGCTTAACTCGGCCTTAAGATGTGGTCTTGGTGCAGCCACCACGTGGGAACATGCGCCTGGTGCCGAGAACCTTGTAAATATCACAGGATATTGAGGAAGAACTTCTTCGATGACCTACAGAGAATCTTTTGGAACAGGCTTTGCATGACTCCCCATTTGAGATGTATGCTTTAATGTGAGGGAATTGTCTCTACTAAAACTAAATTTGGGTAGTCCGAGGGCTGTGCTAAGCCCCGAAACCCTCTCTCCAGAGGAAAGGGGACAGGAAGAAGCCTGAAGGAGGACTGAAAAATACTTACCTTGGGCAATCAAAAAAAAAAAAAAAAACTTTTATAAATAATTGCTTGCCTTTGTTAATTAATTCAATGACCTTTACTTTTAAATTAGGTTTAATTAATTTAATTAATAGAAATGTATTGAGCCCCTAGGCTCCTGTCTTTACCATAGCCAAGGCAGCAGTTCGTTCAAGATTACTTCTCAAGCATTAGCATGTTTCCAGGAAGGGCTGCTTTCACAGAGAAGGATTTAACTTTTACATGTGATGTGTAATGAAATACCCATACCTCCTTCCTGGCTTGATTTAGCAATAAGCCGCTTTATAGCAAAATCTTTGCAAATGCCTACTGTAAACTCAGGCTTTACTGACTACCGCATTAAGATTCACTGCCTGCCTGTGTTGCCCTGAAATGTCTCTGACCACTAGCAGGGTGTCGTCGGCCAGCAAGAGGGGGCAGCAGTGAGGTGACTTCTGAACCTGGAGTGAGCTTTCCTGCTCTACTAATGGCCAGGAGTCATACATTTATTCTCTGCTGATTCTCCGAAGCCTAAAATAAAAATTGCTTAGGTGGAGAGAAAAAATGGAATTGTAAATTCAAGCAATAAATAACCAAGTTTTTCAAGAATTAAGTAATCGTCATACACAATGTCTGAAAGCTCAGTGACAAGCACTGTGCTATGTGCTTTAGGGGTGCTTTCCCCAGGAATCTCCACCACCCACCACCACCACCCACCACCCCTCAGGGTTCTTATATGCATTTGGGGGTGGGAAAACTGAAGCTTGGAGAGACTGAGTGACTTTCCAGGGCAAGAAAAAGGGAGGGCCAAAAATGGAACCCAGGGAGCTGAACTTCAGAAGCCAAATTCTGAACCACCAGGCAGATAATGACTTCCTTCCCCTCATAACTCCTGATCTCTTTGGTATTGGCCTCAAACTACCCTTTCTAGCCAGAGAACCCTGAACTTATACCCCAAGGTATTAGGAACTTTATGACTGCAACTGGATCCTGCCGCACTCCCTGCTGTTCCCCCATCTCCTGCTTCCTTGGGCACTGTTGAATGAGCGACAGAATGAAGAGCTGGATCCAGGTGTGCATGGGAGAGACCTTGAGAGGAGAGGGTCAGCAGCAACCACAGCTCTCCAGCACCCCCTCTCCTAAGGGAAAGTCAACTGCTAGAAGTATGCTTTTGTTCCCTGAATGCTTTAATCAGGAACTGGAGGTCCATTGTTTGCCCAGTGACTCTGTGAGGAGTCACAGGCATGTGCCCAGAAGCCTGTGTGAGAGCTGCAGGACCCGTGTGCTGGCGGGCAGGGCCACGTTGGCATGGAGATGACTACCAGGTCTGTGGCTGATCCATTATATGGGCTCTTTCGAACAGGAGAACTTCGGAACAGTTCTTTCAACCAGCATCTGCTTGAACTGTGCAATTTGGTCTTATTAATAATAATAACAGTGTTCTAAAGTGATTATAATTACAGCAATTTCCATTATTAAAAAAAGAGACTTTCATGCTACACAATATCTCCAACTGAAGATAGGAAAAGGTTTTCGGCTATATACCTTGTAGTAGCTTTAAAAAAGCTTTTTTTTTTTTTTTTTCCCGGAAAGATTTTCTGTCATCTCCACTAAGATGAGTAAAGCAGACTGCAAAACTCTTCTCATACCTGAGCACTTGAATGTCAAGGACCACCTAATTATTTTGGCAAATCCTATTTTAATCATAGTGCATTTCCTTGATTCTCAGCCTCTTAGTATGAAATTTTTTGGAAAACTTGGATTGAAAATATGGACTGAGCATATGCAAATAAGAGTTTGTTCTTTGGAAGAAGCCATCCAGGCTCCCCAGATTAAGCTGACTGTAGGTGAGGCTGAAAACAAGGAGGCGGCCCCAGCAAGAAGAAATCGGATGGAACCACTTGAAATGGTAAACTCTTTAAGACAATGAAATAAAACAATTACTGAGGTTGAAAGAACAAGAAAGTCCAAGCCAGTTTGCCACCAGCTCCTTTGAGTGAGAAGTGGCAGCTCCTGGGCTTTAGAGAAAGAATTCATCAAAGGCTGTGTTACAGAGGACTAGGAAA